ATGCTAACGGCGCAGCTTAACAAGAGTTCCCCGGCATTAAAGTCGCCGCTGCCCTCGGAAATATTTCCCGAAAATCATCGATTCCGGCACGGAACCAGAGAGAGGATACTTCGCATTCCATTAGCCGTTGCTATTTTATAAGGTAGCGACTAGAATTCCATTTATCTCAACTTGCCGGGCGAGCGAACAGTTTGCATAATTGCAATCCACATGGCGGAATATGGGCAATTTCGTTTTATTTTCCGGTTGTAATAGTGGTGCGCGTTTGCATTTTCGAGGTCGGACGGTATGATAGATTACTGCGTAAATGTTGAGGATCCACCAGTATATTTTATACTAATCCCTCGCCTTTTTTCAATTTCCTTGGCTGGAGAATTACTGAATAATTATACAATACAATACAATTATACAGTTATGCACAATACAATATTGTATAATATTATATTAGAGTGTACAATATTGTATAATATTATATTAGAGTGTACAATATTGTATAATATTATATTATAGTGTAAAATATTGTATAATATTATATTAGAGTGTACAATATTGCATAATATTATATTATAGTGTAAAATATTGTATAATATTATATTAGAGTGTACAATATTGTATAATATTATATTAGAGTGTAAAATATTGTATAATATTATATTACAGTGTACAATATTGCATAATATTATATTATAGTGTAAAATATTGTATAATATTATATTAGAGTGTACAATATTGTATAATATTATATTAGAGTGTACAATATTGTATAATATTATATTATAGTGTAAAATATTGTATAATATTATATTAGAGTGTAAAATATTGTATAATATTATATTACAGTGTACAATATTGTATAATATTATACTAGAGTGTAAAATATTGTATAATATTATATTAGAGTGTACAATATTGTACAATATTATATTAGAGTGTACAGTATTGTACAATATTATATTAGAGTGTAGAGTATTGTATAATATTATATTAGAGTGTACGTTATTGTATAATATTATATTAGAGTGTACAGTATTGTACAATATTATATTAGAGTGAACAGTATTGTATAATATTATATTAAAGTGTACAGTATTGTATAATATCATATTACAGTGTACTATGTTGTATAATATTATATTATACTAGAGTGTACAATATTATATTATAATACACAGTATTGTATAATATTACATATATTTAATTTAATATTATTATATATATAATATTATACAATTGTATATTATAATATACAGTTGTATAATATTATAACATACAATATTGCATTATATTATATTATAATATTATACAATACAATTTGTATTTATTAATCTTCGATTTGAAAAGTTGACATTTCAAGTTATTTGAATTCAAGTTAACGCGTCACTGGAATTCTTTTCTTTTTCAAATCAGAACAATGATTCGATACGATGCTTTGAAAACTCGAGAGTTTTATTTCCCAGTGATTCGAAAATGACCAGAAGAATGACCCTTGAACTATATTTTTACTACTTTCAAGAGAACGAACTTTCAAATTCAGACATCTGAAAATCCAAGTATCCAAAGAACTTTCGATTTTGAAAAATACTTCTTCGTGTCAATAACTGACAGACAATTACTCGACAATATAATAATTAAACTACACAACTAGCGACTTCGCTGCGCAACTCTCAGATATTCTCTTCGATATAATTTGAATTTTTCCCGCCTTGCCCTTTTGATCACACATGATCAAATTACGAGCTTCACGCAAGAACAGAGTATGCCAACGTAATTTTATCCACCTACAGCGAGACTACGGCTCTCGTTGGCTACAAAATGGCCGCGGTGTTCCGTGTCATTGTGAAAGAGGCGCGAAGAGAAGGCGAAGTTGCAAGCTCCGTCGGGAAGTTTCGGAGCGAAATCGAGGGTCTGCATCGGTCCGGAGGGTGATTAGGTCGATTGAAATTGTCTTGCTACGGAGTTCGGTCGGTTAAAGCGATTAATGGATTCGATTCCGTCGCGACCGATCTCTCAAAGCTGTGAATTCGACCGCGCGTTTTACGATGCCGCGTACGTCGGTGCCTCGCCACTATCTGTTTCATGAGTTGCGCGCTTCGCGGAACAATTAAAACGCTTCTCGCCAGCGTGAGATGATCGAGACGTTAAATGATTATCGAGGGGAAGAAAAACGCTGAGCTCGCACACGGCAAGAGAACATAACATCGCGGTGAACGTTCAATTAGTTGCCACGCGAAACGATGGTTAGAGAAACGGGGGCCAGGTATTTTTCCAACTGGTATCCTTGAACTTTATTCCTCTGGCGAAACGAAGAAATACGGACGAGAATTTATAACGATGCTTTCATATTGCCAACACGTTCAAGTCATTTGTTCAACTCGAATTGTAATTATCACGTTGCACGTGTTATAATTACAATTGTTAATCTGTCGAATTTTGTTTAAAAGAGCACACGCATGATCGTTTCGTTATCGTTAAAGTTTATTATCGATCTTTCGTGTCTCTTTCCTTTTTTTTTTTTTTTTCAACTGGAATTTCACACTTGAAATTCTGTTACTGTTTCAAAGGCGCAAGAACTCTGTCGAACAAACCACGCATTCGATGTTTAAATCTATCGCTTCGAAACGAACGTTTAGAACATTTGACACTAGAACTACCAGGGACCAAAGTGTAGAATTTTTCATCAGAGATATTAAAGTGAAGACTTTTACTCGTGTATTTTAAAAAATCATTTAAACACCTGTAAAAATACACTGTTCTGCATCTGTAGTGTATTTAAGAAAAATTATGAATTAGTCATTTTTGACCACTTTGGTAATTCTTGTGTTAAATATCGCGTCAGGTAAATATCTTGTCATTTTCAAAGGTAAATTGAAGTTCTTTCGCTGTCACAGACGCTAAAATACATCCGAATTCAAGTGAATCGTTATTATAAATATTCAAATACAGATGAATTTTCTAAACACTGGCAACCAGTCGTGAATAATGTTGCAAATGAACTAATAAGAAGAAATCTGTGACTGGTCATTCATTATTTACTTCTTAACATTCCTACACGATCTTAAAATTTTCTTTTATACAACTGAGCAAGGCAGTGATCATCCACTCAAAAATTTATTCGTTTGTGAAACGAGCGTCGTTCAAAAATTCGCAAGTTTCGAATTCATAGTTCGATGATAACGAAATTCTCGGGACAAGTCCCGTAAAAGTGGAAGAACGAACGACGAGGACGACGTAAATTCCTCAAAGAAATCTGACGTGAAACCGATTGTCGTCGGCAAACGGAAACTTAACTGTGAAAATAAAACTTGTAACACCGTTTTCTCGATCAGCTGTGTCACCGTGTGTCGCGACGATGAACTTTTTTTCTAGTGGAATTCCCCGTGAAATTACCGGGAAGATATTTGACAGAAATTGCGACCGTCTCTCTCAGCGTTTCGATGGGATTTCCTTCCGCGCGGGGAAATTTATCTGGTGGTTTCTCAACCACCGTAAAGAGAGAAGGACGACGCAACGACGGGACGACGTCTCACGTGAAAGACAGAGGGGTTAACGACGCAAAGCTTTTAGCCGCGAGGATAAAGAGAACGAGGGGAAACAGAGGGGAGAGAAAACAGATCCACAACCGGCAATTCAGACGGAATCGAAATCAATTACTCCTGTTTCTTTTTGCAGGAGCGATGAATTCGTTTGCAGTTACAGTTTTGATAGAATTGGCGCGCGTTAGCACCGGAACATTTACGTATTATCTATAGATTGTTTGAAGATTGTTGTGGTATATATGAAAGTTAATATAACGTTTCTATCCTGTAAAATTAAATTAGCTTTCAGTCTACCATGAATTTCAGGGAAGTTCCATCAAGAAGTTAAAAGTTAAATAAATTAATCAACTAAATACAAAAAAATCTGGTTAGATTGCAATGTATTTTTTTATAACAAATTGTTGTTAAGTTTATAAGAAGTTATTACGAGGATTATATTGTGTTCGTTATAACATTTGTGCCTTATAAAATCCGGTTGGGTTAGATCAGATAGTCTTTCAGTCAACTATGAATTTCAGGAAAGTTACATTAAGTAGTTAACAAAAGAAAAAAATAAATAAATTGATCGATCAAATTCAAAATATTCAAAGGTTAAGTTAAAATCGATTATTTTACAGTCTACTGTTCAGAGAAATGAATCCAAAGGAAATTAATCACGTCCGAAAAATGTGAAATGAAAATGAAACCTAATAGAAGCTAATGAAAGGAATTTTTCATTGAAAAATAACATCTGACCAAGACAAAAGCTGCAAGACACATCGTTATAATAGGTTAATTTATATTTTTTTCTGCTTTTACATTATTATTACATTTATATTTATATTTATACTATTATTTTATTTATATTATTATTACTTCAAACCTTTCATTCGAAAAAAAAAAACCGTAATCACAATGTGTACATACTTTTACGTTCTTTGAATAATTAAATGGCCGCATTATGCAACCAAACGACTGAACAATTGGAGCAATTTACGCTCAAATATCAATAGAGTAATAAATATCTCAATTACTACCACTACGTTTGCGATTATTAGCAATTTATGACCGCGAGATTTGCGAAATATATTCGCCGATAGGATTCCGTCACGCGATTGTACCAAATCACTCGATCTGTCGCAGCAAATCGATACGAGCGTTGGAAATAAAACGAATCGCTCCGTTCAGCCGGGGAGGGATTCTCCGAAAGAAGAATCTTCGCGAGCCAGCAAGGGTAGCCATGACAGTTTAACAGCCTAGGGGGGGAAAAAAAGTGGGGCGGTGAAGGCCAAGGATGCAGGATCGTGGAGGAAAACTGCGGATAACGTCGTTTCTGAAATTCTTTAAGAAACGTCGGAGGGGTCCGGCGAATTCACTGCGAGATTATACGAGTGACGCTCGACGGGGAATAGAAATATGTAGGAGAGCGAGCAGCGCCAGGGCGGTAGGAACCTAGTCGGGGATAGAAGAGAAATGAGGATTTACCTTAAGTGTATCCTGCAGGTTTTGTACTCTACAGTGCATGTATACGTGAGCACCGAGTTGCACGGTAATGTTGCTCTCTGGATCTTCGAAAAAGGGCCTCGGCTCCGGGGTGCCGCCCACTTCTGTTGCGAAACTTTCCACCTCGTATACCTGTAAATCACGGGAGGAACGTTTCGTGAATTTCCTGTCTCTCGTTTTCTCCTTTTCCTCCTCTTAAACGAACGATTGTGAATCGTTTTATTAATCGTCAGTGATTCCAGACTTACAACAACTTGTTCACCTTCGTTTGCGACTTGAATTTATTTGCTGGACGTTCGATCAGTCGAAGAATTTAATAGAGAAAGAAAAGGAAATTCTTTAGCTACGATTGAAATATTTCTAGTATGTTAATTCATCCAGAATGAATTGATTATGAATTACAATAGAACGAATCGATGAAATGTGTTAATTTCGCGCACGTGGAATATATTAATTGCGTTTGGCTGGCTACAAAGTTCCAATTGATTAATAAATATTATTTGATAATTATTTTAAATTTTTATTATTATAAATAAATAGTTAATTAGTTAACGAAGGGAATTTAAAGGGTGAAGTGAGATTGGAATACTTTTGATTAATGGATCATCGGCAAACTTCACGTTTCTATTGAGTTTAAGAATTGCACGAAGTAATAATAATATAATTAAAAACGAACGAATAATAACAATCCTTATTATCTACGACAAATCATAGACGTTCAATTTATTAATATACAAACACTACTCGAATTTCTTAGAAAGCTCAATAAATTGCAAAAGAAGTAACGAACAACAGTTTGATGAAATACAAACAGTACTTGAATTTCCTAAGAAGCTCGACACTAAAAAAAAAAAAAACCCTATAAAAGGTCCCGAGAAAACCAATAAAAAGAAAAAAACAAAGAAGAGAGAAAGATCAATTTCACAAAGAAAAGAGCTAATAAATTACGGAGAAGAAAGACATCCTTGAGAAGGGGTGGGAAGAGGGATGAAGAAGCAGGTTCGAAAGTAAAGTTATGAAATACGCGGGAGAAAACAGGTTGACCGCTTTGTTAAAAAGCAACGTAAATATTTGAGGAGACCTTCTGTTCGCCGTTCGACTTCGTCACAAAGGGATCGCGCGCTTTGTCGGCCAGCAGAGGGGTAGAGGCGGCAAAAAGTAGCCGTTTTTGAAAGGACATTTTAACTGCTCGTTGCAATTACGCAGCCGACTTACCTCGGTAAAAGGCGAGCTGAGCTCATGCCAGAACGACCTCGGCAGGTTTTCCAGTCCAGGAAACGGCTTAGCACCTGAAACAATTTAGAAGCAGATTATACGTTTTCGCCGTCTAAGCTTTATTACAGAGACACAACGATATAATTAAACTTGGCCGCATATTTACTGCTTTTCCCTCTCTCTCTACATATATATGCCACATTCCCTCTCTCCTATGTTCGTGCTTTCTCTCTTTGCAATAAACGAACGACACCTTTAATTATTGGAACGAATACGACCTGTTGGTTAGACTGATCAATCGATCTCAATTGTACAGCGTTCTTCCGTGACAATGAAAATTTCGTTAGGTGTTATTGCAGTTATAGTAAGAAAGTATTTTATGTATAAAATACAGTAAAAATTATATGTACATATATTGTACAATTGTATGATCCAACATTATACTTGCGATATGTTATATTATAATATTAATATTATATTATATTATATTATATTATATTACATTATATTATATCATATTATATTATATTATATTATATTATATTATATTATATTATATTATATTATATCATATCATATATTATAATATTATATTATATTATATTATATTATATCATATCATATATTATAATATTATATTTTATTATATTATATTATATATTATATTGTAATATTAAATAATATAATACGATGTTTTATAAATTGTACAATATTAAATCGTACAATATATATTTGTACAATATATACTGCACGTACAATTTTTATAATGTACGTATTACAAGTATAATATTACAACACGTAACATATGATATCATATTACAATATAATATTTCATAATTTAATATTCTACTTGTACATGAAATATTGACCAAATATTCTAATGTTCTAATGTGTCATTTATATATAAAAAGTATGTACTGAGGTAATATATTAGGGGTACCAATAATAAGTCGTTTTTTTCAAATTTAATAAACATTGCCACCTAGTGACAATAGTTTAAAAAAAATAAAATTTTGTACAGTATCAATCGATATTACCTATATTTTATAATAAATTATATATATATATATATACCTATATATACCCTTATTCTAAATAATATATATTTATTTAAAACAATTGTATTCGCTGCCTATATTCTAAACAATATATATTTATTTAAAATAGTTATATTCATTGCCTATATTCTAAATAATATATATTTATTTAAAACAATTATATTCATTGCCTATATTCTAAACAATATATATTTATTTAAAACAGTTATATTCATTGCCTATATTCTAAACAATATATATTTATTTAAAACAGTTATATTCATTGCCTATATTCTAAATAATATATATTTATTTAAAATAATTATATTCTAAATAATCAATCTTTGTGCCCTCCGAAGAAAACCTCCCAACCCCTAGAACACTGTCTAACCTTCGTTATTTCTATTTTACACGGACGACTCCTTTATACGAAAGTTTCACTCTTGCTCTCTCTCTCTCTCTCTCTCTCTCTCTCTCTCTCTCTCTCTCTCTCTCTCTCTCGTGGCGTGTAACCTTGCGACGCGGGGAATACGTTTATGTGTATCGTCTTGGAAACTCCGCGTACGGTCGCGTGTGCTCGCTGCTGATAAGGCCATTCTATTCGTCGACAGCCGAACGAGTTTCACTCCTCCCGCCCTTTTCCCTTCTCCTTTCCACCCTCCCCCCCCCCTCCTATCTTGGAAAGTGAAAAACTTTTCCACTGCTCTGCACTCGTTCTCCAACTTCGCGATTGTTTCCATAGTAATTCGATTTTCCGCGTCTATCACGCTAACGACGCTTGGGCCCCGTTCGCTGTTTGCTCGTGGCGTCGTTTCTTTTCACAGCCCCATCCCCCGACCTGACACAACCCCCCGTTTTGTTTCCGTTTGCAAAGCAGAATCGAGATTACACCGATTGGCTGCACAGACTGCATCGGATCGATCTCGCGGCTTACCGCGATTGGTGATCATCTCAAGGCGACCAACTCGGCTCGAGAGTCAATTTCAGGTAATTAATTCAATTAATTTCAGGTAAAGTATTTCGTATGTGAAATATTTTGTACGTGTATTATTAACATCTGATTAGAAACAGCATCTGAAAGTTTATTTGATCCAGAAATACACGATGCAAGTATTATTTTACTGAATGCTATCTCAACCGACACATAACAGCGCGAATGTTATTTCAATCGATTCGCAATGAAATATTACAATATCTTGCAAATTGTTATTATCATTATTTCAGAATATTACTTGGACTGATTGCTGATGTGCAGAAAGTGCAGAATTTCAGCTCGGAATCCAACGGAAAATTCGATATTAGACCCGTGGCTGAGTATCGGTTGATCAATACTACTTATTACGAGCCGCGCCGATACGCAGGCAACTAATGAGATACGAAGCCGGATGTTTAACATAATACCGCAATAACCAGCCTCTATATTAAACGATATATCCGGATATACTTCAAGCAAAAAGTTTATTTATTATATTTATTATATATATATATTATAATATATTTATATTATATTTATTATATATATATTATAATATATTTATATTATATTTATTATATATATATTATAATATATTTATATTATATTTATTATAGTTCATTTGTTATATTTTTTATATATATATTACAATATATATATATTATATTTATTATAGTTTATTTGTTATATTTATTATATATATATATTATAATATATTTATATTATATTTATTATAGTTTATTTGTTATATTTATTATATATATATATTATATTTATTATAGTTTATTTGTTATATTTATTATAAATATATTGTATTATATTGTAATATATTGTATATGTTATATTATATTTATCATAGTTTATTTGTTATATTTATTATAAATATATTGTATTATATTGTAATATATTGTATATATTATATTATATTTATCATAGTTTATTTGTTATATTTATTATTTATTATAAAAGTTTATTTATAATAAATAATTATTCATTTATTTATAAACAATTATTCTAAACTCTCATCCTGAAAAATATACAATTGAAATATCGGACCTGGTGAATACACATATATTCGTAAAATCAAATGAATAATTATTTCACATTAGCCGTATTACGAAATAATCTGTGCAAGTACTCTGATTTCTTTCTTTTTTTTTTTTTCTTATTTCAAACACTTTTAATTTCGAGCTGTTTCGCATTGATCTGCCAGGTTAAGAACAGTGTTCCATTACTTCGATAGCCCTGGTACTAAGAATACCATGTGTTTCTGGTGTTGGTGGTGTACTCCATGGCCAGAGGATACTCGATGTAAACTTCCATGATCTTGCGGTTGAACTGTGTTTGTTATTGGGACTCCTGAGGTTACCAGTTCCGGATTCTGCTTTCGTGTACTTGTCAACATCCACGCTCCGCGCTTCGAAAACTCGCCAGTATTAAGTAACGCTCTCGCCCTCCGTGCAATTGTAACGTGTATTTGATCCGGTTGATCTTTACGTTTGCCCGCGTTGAGACAACAGACGGGGAACGCGAGGAATTTATTCGCAAAAGGAAAAAAAGGAAGAAGAAGAACGAGTGGAAAATGACAGAGAATTCTGTTAAATTGTGGCTCGACAGATCTGCTTACCAATTAAAGATTAATCATTATTTAATTAGTATATATCATATATTATATAATTATAAATATAATAATATATATTATATTATATATAATATAATAATATTAATAATATATATAATATAATATAATATTATTATATTATAATATTAATATTAATATTTAGTATATAATAATAATATAATAATGTTATTTTACTAATAATGTATATATCATATATTATATAATTATTAATATAATTATTATATATTATAATAACATGTTTAATTATTATACCATCTGCATGCCAAATCAAATTCAATCTCGAATTCAAATTCAAATACAGATTCGAACTCGTGTTTAAATTCGAATTCAAATATTTGAGGAGCACTAACTCTCTCGCTTTATAGGAGAAAGAGACATTTGTCGAATCGTAAAGCATATGTGATGAGAGAAGAAGTTCGAAATACGCGCGTACGGCATTAAAAATCACTTGTTGAAAGTATTTCAGAATTTAGAGGAAAAGAACGACGACGATCGTCTGCATTAAGGGAAGTTACATCCAATTATTTCATGTCAGTTCTCGCTCGTAGTCACTTCGATAGTCGCGAAACTCGATATCGAGATTCCCAGGCAGCTGGTGAAACACGACAGAGATGACCCCTGTCTAATGAACCTCGATATCGGTGACCCGAGGTTGTAACTTGCGACACAAACAACCACGAGAACTCGATACTAAGGAGGACGATCATGAGTGTCGCAATATGGGTGATTTCGAGATAGTCCTGCGTCAAAGATGTCAGAGTCTTCGACTCTGCTTCGTCCTACAATGACACTGTCAGCCCGTTCCACGAATATATATATATATATATATATATATATATATATATATATATATATATATATATATATATATATATATCGCACCAGACCAAATTAATTTCTCGGCATGAAGCATACAGTTGTTACCAGATTTTATGCAAATTCATAATTCCGGAGGATGTAATTTAAAAGTAAACAAAAAATGGAGCCTAGAGGTAGAGAATGAAAATTATTTCACGTATAATATTTAAAAGTATAATTCATTGCATAATTCATGCACTTTTTGCATGTTACGCGCATCGCGTGCAATTTCACGTTCAAAAATTTTTCACAAAATTTCATAAAAATGATCGTCAACGTGTGATTAGTTAGTTCGTATTATCACGATATGTATTATCGCACGATAAATTTTCAAATATTTATAATATGATAATTATTATATATTTAAATATATTTTAAATATGATGATTGTTATATTTTTATTGTTATATAATTTATAATTCATTGTTTGTATGTAATTTATATTATTATAAATTTACAATTATTTATAATTATAAATTACTTAATTTATATTTATATAAATTAATATTACATAAATATTAAGTACTAACAATAATTATTATTATTTAATTTACATATTATTAT